TGAAGAACAGTGACAGGAGAAGATATAAAATGCATAGTATGATACACACAATTTGTATAGTATCTCACAATATAGTATCAATGAAGAACACATCAATGAAGAACAGTGACAGGAGAAGATATAAAATGCATAGTATGATACACACAATTTGTATAGTATCTCACAATTTGTATAGACAGGAATGAGAGGATGGCACAAGAGTGTCACATTAGTAGGAGACAGCCAAAAGATCTGGGGGCTGAGAGCCTGTGAACAACAAGTGAACTGATCAGCTGACCGGGTGGAAGATACACAGTAAGGGAGGACTATGAAGTCCGTCCTTGTCCAAGTACAGAGAGCATACTCTGGAGGAGGAGGAAAGGATGGAAAGAAAGTGCAAACAAGCTGTGCCCAATTTAGCAGCCTCCAAATGACTTAGATTAGGACAGCGGGCATCTTAATCTTAAAAAGTGCTGAGACTGGCCTAAACCCTGGTGATTGTTCCGCAAAAAGGGGACTGATTGTCACAATCCGGGGCCCATAGATTAATCTTACCCTAGGATTATCAGCTATCCAGCACAGTTCCCTGAGAGATATTTTAATGGTTCTCACACACATACACCCAAGTATATTGTTTACCAGACTAGAATCTACTGAATGAAAATTAGAATACAAAATTTTAAAAAATGCCAAAACCAGATGCTGAATCCAGCAAAATAGGACTGATGTTAATTCAGGTCAGAGATATTCATGTGCCTATCCCAATTGCTCTCTCTGTAATTGGGAGCTGCAAGACTTTCCCTCAAGCTTTTGCTGTCAAGCTCCAGCACAGCAGCTGGTAACTAGGGAGACAAGGGAAAATAGTGTTGAACTTTCAGTACCTGACCGGATGATACTACACCCAACAGAGAGGTTTGTTACAATGCTCCTCACATTTCAATCTCTCTAACCTTACAAAGAGAAACATGGTTCTTCCAGGGAGTGTGAAGGTTCCTTCACAAAACCCATTCTGAAACCAAATTAGCAACAAAAAATCAGCAAGCTGTGGGTGGGAGAGAATTTGAAGGCCCCAAGTTTCAGGGAAGAATAAAGAGGAGAATCCAATCAGTTGAAGATCTTTGGATGTGACTCTTAAGACTCTGACAGAATAGGATGTAGGCAAGTCAAATAACCAGGAGGTGCCTTGGAGACCAGATTAGGAACTGAGCTGGGTTTAATCCGGAAATCTCTTTCTAACTAAAAAAGATGGGATGATAGTTCCCCTGAGCTCTTCCAGAGCTAATTCTGGACCTGAGGACAGGACAGACTCCCGCTGGACAGGTGGGGGGAAATGCAACACCGCGCTGCAACCTTCTCTATTTCATTAGTGATTATTATATTACTGGTTCCTGCATCCCATTTTACAAAGCTAGGCTCACAAATGGATTAAAGGAGGAGGGGGCAGAGAAGCATAAAGAGGTGGCTAGCTGCGAGCCATGTGAATGAAGCTACTCCGAAGTAAACCGAAGCTCTGAGACCTGCTGTGCTGGAGAAAACCAAGATCCAGGGCGGTAACGCAGCAAAACGCAGCGGCGCGCAACTAAGGAGGGGGGGGGGCGCTTGGGGAGGGGGCGCGGCAGCATATCTGCTTCCTTACCCTATCCCTTGAAATTCCCCCCTGACCGACCCAACCCGTTTAATCCGGATCACCAGAGCGCGCTCCTCTTACCCCGTGCAGTTTCAGCGCGCTGCCCAGACCGGCTGAGCCCCCGCCAGCGCATCCCGGCAGCGAGCGACCAGCGCGCCCTCCCACTTCTCAGGCCGGGGAGGAGCGAGCGCGAGTCTCCCTCCCTCCCTCCCCGCCCACCTTCGCCTCGCGAGCGGCAGAGGCGGAGGCGGGGGCGAGAGAGAAACCTCGGCAAGTCCCGCCAGCGCTGCCCCCCAGAAGTTCGCACCGGGTCGGCCGCTTTCTCCCTCGCCGCCCCGAGAGGATGCGTCCGGGAGGCCCAGTCCCTCCAATTCGCACCCCGGGGAATCTCTCTGCTTCGCAGCTGCCCAACCTAGGGCGTAAACGGCGTCTGAGCGTGCAAAGAATACACGTCCTTTTCCAAACCGTAGTGGGTGCAACTCCCTCCGTCAATATATAACAGACATTTACGCTGAACTTACGTACATACATACATACCCCAAATATTGGGACTAGTTCATAATACTGGCCAACTTTACATAATATTCCAAGGCCAGGGTTTACTCCCTAAGCATTAAAATCAGCACCATAAAGGTGGTCAGTATTATGAAGTAGCCCCAATATTTGGGGTGGGGGTAGAATTGAGGATAAGCAAACAGCAGTTAAAATAGGCCTTGGGTAGGCTGGCACAATCTGCTAGACCAGGCTAGAATAGGTTTGGGCAGCTGGTGGCTCACAGATTGTCAGAATTCAAACACTGCGTGTTGCGTGAACCAATTAAAGAGTTTGAGATTTGAATAAGTGAGCGCTCCTGCTCTTAATCATTAAGTACTTGGTCCAGAAACTATTTTCAACTCCACCAGGGTCTTCAGCACTGAAACAAAAGGCTGCTGTGTGTTTACTTTCCTCACCTCCGGCAATGAGAACTGCACCTTTGAGATACACGGGAGACAGGCAACTTGGTGTCTTTCAAATGTTTTGGACTTCAGTTCCTATGATCCCTTACCAATTAGCTATACAGTACTGGCTAGAACCAGTACAAGTCGGCTCAAATATCTGGAGGTCACCAAATTGCTAAATGTACTATACATAGCCATGTATAACATCATAAGAAACTTCCAGATTCAAACATATGGTTTCTAACAAGCTTCAGGCCTAAACATACTTCACACATTAGCCCCTAGATTTATATCTTTACAAACAACTGGATTTTGGAAACCATACAGAAACACCCTGTCATTACAGAACAGCAGCAGCTCCCACTGGTTCCAACATATTCCCTTACTAATCTTTGCACATTAGTCAAAACATTAGCCTTCCTCACCCCGCAACTTCTCACATTCAAAGGGGATTAATATTTTAACCTTCGGCACAACACACCCTTCCCTTATGGTAAATGAATTCACTCTTTGGTATTGCTTAAATATATAGTAAAGTAACCCACCTGCTTCCTTTGCTAATACTACTGACCTCAATGAGGCAGATTAGAAGCCTCAGTGATGTTAACTTGGAAAATGTTTATGACATTCCCAGCCTCCAATACAATGAACTATGCTGGCTTGCATTTATGGTCAGCAATTACAATTGATAAAGAACTAATTTGGATATTTAAAAACCATCTATCTAGAATCACTAATTGATAGGGAAGGATGAGGAGAGGGACACCTGCTCTGACCTGCTCTTGTGCCTTTAATAGCAGCCCTGATGTGCCAAAAGCAGGCAGTCAAGTGAAGCTTTGAACTGCATGGAGATAACTGTCATTGATTGCTAATATCTGGCCATTAAGCAGTTGAGGGAGACTAAGCCTCTCTTCCCCCACTGCCTGCATGTTCAGGCAGCAAGCTTTGAACCGAAGGATCATCTCTGAAAGAGATCAGAAGGGGTCTGGTAGCACCTTTTCCAACTGACAAATTTTATTAAAAGGCATAAGCTTTTGTGAACTGCAATCCGCTTCATCAGATCCATCAAACCTGTTACAGTAGTTGGAAAAGGGGCTGCCTGGTTCCTTCTGATTTTTTGCTACTGTAAATCCACATCCCTGAACAATGTAATTCATACTCATATGAACTCCACAAATGAACTGTTTCTGTATGTAAAATTAATCTGGATTTATTCTGGGAAGGGAAAATAAATCTAGGAAAGAGGACTCTTAAAGGGTCTTCTCACACATATGATGCAACGGAAAAGCCATTTGCACTGAAGAATTTTGAGCAGGGAATTCTCCACTTGCAAACTTGAAGTGACACAGCTCAGATGCAGACAGCCTCCTCTCCATCTCAGTATGAAACAGCTTCAAGGTATTTTACATTTTCAAAGAGAAGCTGCTTCTCTACTTCTTTCAGGAGGTTCAAAAGAAAGGTCCAGTCCTTGAGGCCTTCATGCTAGATGGACATGTCACAAATTTTAAAAAGCACAGCTGACCATCAGTGAAGAGAAAACACAATTCAGTGGACAGTCCTGGAAAGACTGGGAGGTGGGACATCAGTGCAATCTTTTCACCTGGCTGTGATTCACAAGTAGATTTCAAAAGCTGTGAAGCCAGCCTTCTCCTTTGAAACAGCACTGCAGAATAAGGCACGGCTATTCCCCTGGCAGGCAGGGCTGGAAAGGGAGCCCCATGCTGTATTGAATTGCTGCCACCACGCAGCAACTGCAAACAGAATCCGGTGACAGGCAGAAACCCAGCTTCTCTGGATGACTTTATGCTCCAGAGAATGAGCACATCGAAGAACGTAACAGGAAGGAGCAGGGCAGAGGCTTTCCTTGGCCTAAGGAAACAGCTGGTCCCCGAAAAATTCCGCCTTTCTCATCTCTGAAATGGTGGGAGAAGAACTGCCATTCCCCTGGCTATGATACATTTGGGACATGTGGCAAGTTCAGCATCTTCTATGCACTGAGATGAGACACTTAATACGCCTGGAACAGCTAATCCAAACCACATCTGATCTGCATAAAAACACCAAACCCCTCCCACAAGATCTAATTACGAAGGGCTTTCACAAACATCTAAGACACTGTGGCCCTTTATCATCAGGGGTGACAGTCACATGACTGCCTTGTTCTCCAAACAATGAGACTTCAGATGACTCCAAACATCCTTTTTCAAAATCATGGGCTTCATACTCCCTGCTTCAGCCTTCAGGAACAGGTCAGGACTAGAAAAATATCTACTAGATAGCATCTTTATGTTACAGGGAATTGTTAAAGACATAAGAGTCTTGCTAGGTGGGATGGGGAGAAACCAAAATAGAGTGTCTGATGTGTTTTAATTTTGGCCCAGAGTACTGATGTTTGGGCGGGGTGGAGGGACGGGGTGTTAAGAGGCTAGGTGATTGACACCCTGCAGGGACGTCAGGCACTTATTTCAACTCTTTAGATCCCACCCCCAAACTTCCTAAAAATTAGCCAAAAAGTTTGGACCCATCTGCTCTGGGGGTTGTAAAACAGATGTAATTCACGAGTTACCTACCCCATTCCATAAATGGGGGAACCTTGAGCAAAAACTACTTTTTGCAAGATTTCATTGCTCCTGAACTCTGGGGAGGGGGGTGCATCACAGATCATTACATTTCCTACCTTTCCCATTGTCCTCTATAACTCTCTACATAGTTCACTGACACAAACCCTCCCCTGAATTGAATGCACATTTAGCAACTGCACGCTGCACAATCCTCTCCAAAAGCTTCAGACTGCAACTCTCCTCATTCCCAACCAGCACATTCAAATGTTGCCTGGGTTGATAGGAACGTAGTGCAACAGGAGGGTTAATATTAAAGAAGTCTGTTCGATAAAGACCTGCAGCCAGAGCTTTCTTCTCCACTTATTTTTTTTAATCTGAAAATTGATACTCTACCTTGTTCGTGATGATCAGGCTGATTAAAATACAATAATTAAAATACAATGTAGTGACAAGCGCAGCGGATAAAGCAAAGGCATTCAACAAATGTTTCTAGCAAAATACATGCCTACAAACAGAAACAACTATTTTACTCTCTGATCAAAACGAGGAGCCGCTTCTCGGGTTAGAGCTCCACCGTTTCAGGGAGCTACTTTCCCCAATCCTTTTCAATGGAGCCTCATACAGAGAGAGAAGGGCCTATTTCAGACAGAAAGGCCAACAAAGACTTAAGCCACTGGGCGTCTTGAAAAGTTATCACCCAAACACCGAATTCTTGAAAGTAAAGCATTTAATGGCGCAGACTTTGCAGAGCAGACGCTGCAGACGTCCTGCAAGCAAGTGCTCGCCACCCTACCAGCTGCACCTTCTGGACAATGGCACTTTCTCCAGCTGGGTGTATTGCAACAGAGCAATCTAGAAGCAAGAAAGGCATTCTAAGGCATGATCTTGTCAAGAACGGAGGCAGGGGCACATTAGCTTGAGTCAAGCAAAAACAATTACTAGGATCGTGATCGTGGAATCTCCCCTGAGAGTTCCAAAGCTATCTGAGAGAGGAAACCTGATTCTTCAAGGGGAATCCTATCCAGTTCAGAAGAGGGTAGATTCCTAATTTATCACCCATCTGCCCCATTCCATTCTCACATCCAGAGCACCTCTGTCATGACTGGATTATTATTAGCTCTTGTCTAGCCCAGTCAACATGGATTCACTGAAATTTGCCAGAAAGTTGAGCTGGAGATAAAAATCTTGGGGAGGTTAATGCCTTTTTAAGGGACTTCATGGTCCCTGCTTCCATGAACAAGGTACAAGTTGAGTTGTAACTCAACTTAGACCCAATAGTTCAGGATAATTACTAATGTCTATTCTTCTGTTTTTAGGAGTTGCAACATATGGTGGTTTCTCAATGCCAGGCAATGATGGACATTAATACCAATAGAAGAGCAAAATGATGGATATTATTTGGGAATGACAAAAGACGGCCCCAGGGCTGCAAAGAGCCCCCAATCCCTTGGGAGCAGCCAATCCAGAAATAATGCAGAATTGTCATTTTTAATGTGACCAAAGGGGAACATTATTAAATACATGGGAGGTAATACTGTATATAACATATTAAAAACATGGAAAGTAATGGCATTACATTATTTTTAATTAAATTAATTTAACATT